AGTGAATCCCACAGAACACTCAAAAGGCAGCTTTAAAGGAGAAACACACAAGTTAGAATGTGATAGGATGCTGCCTCAGCATCAAGATGACGTCATGAATGGCTATTTGATTTGAAAGGGTCCAAGACTCTGCTTTCTTGACCACGTGAGGTTTTAATTTCTGATGTTTAATTTTCCTCATCAATTCATAGAACTCTTAACTGAGAGTCAGTGTCTGTTTTTACGAGTTCTTCTTAGTGCTTTTCGTGAAGGAGGTTCAAGCTGTAAAAACCAAGCCTTCTTCATTAATGCTGCTTTAGTAGAGACCTCAATTACTTTTCCATTCTTTGCTCCTTGGTGGCAGTGATGTGGTAGGAGGCTTGTTTCTAGCTGGACAATGTCATTAAAGCCACAAGAGTCTTTGATTCTGAGGGCAAAGTGATGAAAGGAAATAAGAAGGAAGGTTACCCCAGAAAATATCAAGAGTCCATAAGGAGGAAGCAAGGTGACTAGAAGAGATGTGTTAGACACAGCTTTTCCTGTTGAGTAAGAATCTCATACGTCGATTGTTCCCGTGTCTCTTTTGAAATATATATATAGTAATTAAGGTAGACCATACATTTTTTCTGTGATTGGGAAACAGTGATTAATCATGCAGTACCACGGAGAATGAATACAATCAGCACAAATATGTTAGAATTTACTTCCAGTTCACAGCTTCAGGCAGATTATAGAAAAATAAACTCAAAATAATATTTGGTCGAGTCTGACCCTATTATATCATATTGTTGAATTTGGTGTCTCCAGAGATCTCACCTCTTGATTAATAGAATGAGTTACTTAAGAAATTGGTATAGAGGGACCAGCAGTTAGTGTAATGACTATGTCACTGGACTCCCATGTAATCGACCACGGTTCATGTCCCGGACCCAGTGGCTTAAAACTCACGCCGGGCATGTGTGATTGTGTGCCGTGCCCAAGATCCTGGGAGGAGAACAGAGGAGAAGGGATTGTGGCGTGGCCATCCTCCCTAGAGGGTGATTTCTCGCTTTCTATCTCTCTGTCTCTGTCTGTCTGGCGAGTGGATGCGCCCTATGACAAAAACCTCTAAAAAAAAAATTGGTATAAAAAAAGTAGTACTTACCCATCAAAGTGAACTGTACTGCGTTGTTTTTAATGAATTCTGTTTTCCTGATAGCGTAATTTCTTCAAATTCTTCAGGGGTTGTACCCTAATGAGAACCACATACTCACGGTCATTTAAAGTCTAATCCAGTGTTCTCAAACTGTGAGCAAAAACCACTTAAGAACAATTCAGAGGATCTGAATTAAGTATACAGTAGGTAATAAAAAAGAGCATACACCCCCTTCAGATCTGAACAATGGCCAAGAATCATACGTTTTCTGTGGGGGCTGGATGAGGTGGGTAGGGTTGGTTGTATGTGCTCACACGTATCCAAATCCTGATGTTTCTCTGTCAGTTTAAACTGTTGAGGGACGTACCAACAGATTCGTTAGTGGCCCTTATGATTCTTTCTACTAACTGCCCAATTTGTAGGTCATTTCGTTCTCTGTGAGCCAAGATCTCACAAGACAAAGAGAATGGCAAATTCCTTCTTCACTGGTATCTCTTCTGCTTGAGTTCTAGCCTTAACTGCCTAGCAACAAGAGTCTCTGAGTTCCACCCAACACGGCAACTGGCTCAGATTCCTCCCATCTCCAGCTCCCGCATCTTGATTAGATTTTATTTCCTATTTTTCTTTAGAATTCATAAATCCCATTTTGTAGGACCCCTTCATCCTCTATAATCACGTGATCTACCCTATTAATGATCATACAGCTACCCTGCTCCCAGAGCATATCCTCAACATTGAATCTTACGGCACATTGAAGTACTTCCGGTTCTAAAACCTCAAAAGCTTGACCCATTAATACATTTTCTGTGGACAAAGACATTAGTAATCCCACGTATCATTCTTAGTTGAACAAACAACAGAAATATTTTATATCTGCACATCATGTACCTTATCTATTATAGAGAAGTGTAAGAAAAGGCAAAAAATCTTGTCAAAAACAGACATGAATAAAAGAGCACTGGGTGGAATAAATATTTTTGTGGCTGTTTTTAAGAGACTGATTTTTGCTATTGGTCATTTCTGCTCACCAGAATGACAGAGAGACAGTAGTTTACAATCACCTAAAAGGAGTATAGCCTCATTGCAGTTCCCTTCTCCTCCATTGTACTCTTAGGATCTTGGGCATGTGCACACACACACACACACACATGCACACACGCCCAGGTTGAGTTTCAAGCTGCTTATTTCAGAACTCAAACTTTGGTAGACCATTGTAGGAATCCATTGACAAAACTCCTCCGCCAACTGCTGGTCCCAAGGAGTAGATGTTATGGTCAATTGAATAGATTCAACTTGGGAAGACTGCTTTTAGCAAATGCCTGGACAGGACCATGGAAAGAAATGCTGCTTGTTTATTATTCTTTTTGTTATATTTATTAATTTATTCTTTGTGAGGTAAGGTATAATTCTTACTACATGTACACAGTACATAATTATCAAATCACTCATGTATATGTACTAGCCTTCGACACTGAACATTACATTCATTATTTATAGTTTTTGAAAATACAATACACCTATGGGACAGGCAGGAGAGTAGCACCACCCCCAAGTCTGAGATCTGCCAGTGTCTTCTCATTGACTTTTATGATTTTTTTCTTTTGAGAGGGTTTCGCTATAGGGCACACACGCTCGCCAGACAGACAGAGACAGAGAGACAGAAAGTGAGAAATCATTACCCCAGGGGGGATGGCCACACTGCAATCCCTTCTCCTCCAGTTTCTTCTCGGGATCTTGGGCACGTACGCACATGTGCCTGGCGTGAGTTTTAAGCCACCAGGTCCGGGATGTGAACCGCGGTCGACTACGTGGGAGTCCAGCGACATAGCCATTATGCTAACTGCTGGTCCCCTCATTGACTTTTGATCTGAGTAGTACCAGCTCTGCATCTTACCTTCCTTGGACTTTCTTACTTTCTCTCAAAATGTCACTATTGTCAGTTATAAAAGGACTAGCTCATTCCCTTCTAGTTTTAAATCTCTATTTTAATTTGCAGAAGAAGGAACACTTTCCAACTCCTTTCATAATCCCAGACGGAAAACAAAACAAAACTAACAAATGCATTTTCTCTGTCTCAAGGGAATAATCCTGACTAGTTTGAGCTATTGAAAGACCTATTGTGAATTCTAACAGAGAGACATAAATTATAATAAAGCACAAAGTGGAAATTCCTAAAGAGCAAAGCATTATGACCAGTACGAAAACCTTTATACATGACAGAGTGAAAGATAGAAGGCAGAATAAAGAATAAGTGGAGTCTATAGCAGGTTACTAGAGAGGATACCACCAGAACAAAGAAAGAAAGAAGAAACATTAAATGTGCCTGTTTCTGTGGCCCCCAAATCTGAGGGTGCTGCCCACAATGTTTATGAATTGCACATAGCATGCTTGGAGGTCCAGCAGAGAACAACGTGGATTTCCTTACTAGGGAAACTTCACTGACAGCTGGGTGGAGAGTGGTTTGAACTGTCAGGTTTCCAAGATCAAAGCCTACATGAATCAAGTAAAGACTTACATTTAGGGTTTAGGTGTTTCAACATGAGATCAGCTGATCAATTAATAGCATCAGCAGAGTTTATCTAGGGTTTAGTGCCTCTAGTCTTGTGATGTTCCCTGTGAGAGAGGTGTGAGGTGTCGCTCTGGTACAGCCCAGGACATGGCCAGTTCCACGAGATTAGGGAATGGTCACTAGGGTTTACACAGTCCAGCCAGGCCAGCAGCCAGATCTCAGTGGGATAGAGTACAGAGAGAGGGAGAGGAGCGCTCAATGTGGAGTTTACTCTCAGCGCCTCTGAGAAATATGTAACCCACTTTAAAGCAGTGAATAGAAACTTTCAAACCTTTGAATAAAAAAAGAATAAATCCTGTCAACAAACAGTTCCTTGAATACCACTTTTATTCCATTCTCTTTTCTTTCCCTGAGACTCCAGTATTATGGATATAAGAACTCCTTATGTGTTTCATAGACTCTTTTCTCTTCTTTGTGGTGTTTTCCTTTCTGTGTGCTTCAGGGTAGGGATTTTTCTGTTGACCTGTAAGAAATTTAACTTTACAAAATTAAATTTAGAAACTAAATAAATTCAATTTCTTCCATTTAATTAATTCATGAGCATATTCTGTTCATCTACTGTTCAGTCTATCTACTGAGTTTCTAGAAAGTTCCATCCATCCCAGAGTGAGGAAGAAGCAGAGGCCACATGGCCTGGGCTGTTCACTGCCCTTTCCCCAGCCCATTACCAGGTGTGGAAGAAAGGGTCACCCTGTATGCACTGTCTGACATCTGGCTCATGTCCGTACCAGAGTGAGAAGGTGGGGTTACCCACCTGGTCGGGGCTGATGGTCACCTCACCCTCAACGTGTTCGAGTGTGAGGAGTAAACAGACACCACCAAGCCAGTGCAGATCACCTGATCACCCTCCATGCACACCGTACCCCGCTAATCTGGGAGGACCACCCTGGCCAATGTGGTGCATGACTTGGGCTACCACCTTACAGTCCCTTTCCCATTTCAGTCCCCAGCTAACTGTGACCAGAAAGGTTTTAGACAGAAATTGACTGCCAATAAATTCTCTGCCCTGCAAAGGAAATGACAGAGTGAAGAAAACCCTTAGAATGGGAAAAAAATTTTGCAAATTACACCTCAGACAAGGACCTTATACTCAGAATATATGAAGAAATCAAGCTTCTTAAACATTAAAACAAATGTCTGCCCCTCCCCCATTCTTCTTTGTACTCTCAGGGTTGGTTGTTTCTTGGGATTTTGAGACAAGCTTGCATCTCTTCCTGCCCCTTCAGGTCATCCATTCCAGTGAAGGGCATTGCCATACCACAAGCCACCTGAGACTGGAGGTATTAAAGACAGGGGCCAGTGGATCATCCCCATCCCCCCACTATCCTTTGGAGTCGCAGGTTTGTTTCTTGGGTCTTTGACAAGAACTTCACCCCCTCTCCACCCCATCAGGACACCCATTCCAGCAAAGAGCTTTTTCAGAAGCCATGTTGCCTGTGGTTGGATGGATTAATGGCTAGCAATGTTGACAGGCACCATCAAATTGGCTGAAAGTATGAGAATGATAAATAAGAGGAATTAAGGGATTCTGTTTTCTCTCCGCTCACCCTCTCTTACCCCTTCTTTCTAAAACATACTGTATATTTAATTTCTGCTGCTAACACATTCCTAATTTATGACAAGACCTTTAGCTGTATTTGGTCCTTCTGGTGATTGACCCCAGACCCATCTGGCCAGAGAGACTCCAAAGTCTTTAGCTGTTGGACTTTGTATTTACATCAGTGACCAGTTAAGGTGTTTGGGCATAGAGTCTCCCAGAAAACCTTAGGCCTTATCCCTGGATTGTGAGGTTTTTCTGCCTTTTGATAGTGTAATACATAGACAATTTCTATAGCGATCTTGTTTCTCTAGAGAACTGAGACCAATACATCTTCTCAACTAATGAGACCTCTGTGTTCTGTGCATATCTCACCTAGAGCCTGAGGTCATCAGCACCACCCCACCTACTAAAACCTTGCCCTCAGAGACACCTCTTTGATGGGTGGGACACTCAAATATTACATATAACCTATCCAGAATCAGAGACATAGTTTATAAACCCACTGACTCTTTTTCCCAACAAAGCTGTATTACTGCATTTACAACGTTTACAGCCTCCATCACAAATGGTTTGCAGACTCTGTTAACATAAAACACCAATCATAGCCAATATACCATTATTACACTTTTAAATCTAATGACTCAAGTAATAATAAAGTACGTGTCTTCAAGAAAAGTATTTCACCTGCATAAATGATTCCATGAAACAGAAAGTCAATTGCTCCCCAGATTCTCAGACATCAATACAGAGGTGAAAGAAAAACAAAATAGTGGAGAAACATCTGTCCTTCAAGGGAACACAATGATTCTCCTGTAACAGATGACAAAGAAAAGGAAATCCAAGAAATGACAGATACAAAATTAAGAATATTCATCGTCAGGAAACTTAATGATACATGAGAGAGTTTAGACAAACAATGAAGTGAAATCAGAAAAACAATCCACAATATAAATAAGAAAAAGATAGCTTTGAAAAACAACAGTTCTGTAGGTAAAGAATTCATTTAAAAATAAAATAAAATAAATCAGTTGAAATAACAGTAGTGCAGATCAAGCAAAAGCAAAAAAAAAAAAAAATCTCTGGGGGCTAACAGGTGGCATGGCGGTTAAGGTGCCGAACTCCCATATGGCTGACTGTGGTTCAAGTCCTGGACCTAGTGGCCTAAAAATAACTCCAGGCATGTATGAGTGCATATCCAAATGCCCAAGAGGAGACTAGAGGAGAAGGGATTGTGTCATGACCATTCCTCCTGGGGATGATTTCCCATTTTCCCTCTTACTGTCTCTCTCTGGTGAGTGCACGTGCCCTATGACAAAAACAAACAAAAGGAGTAGAAGAAAGAAAGAAAAAAACCCTCTGAATTTGAAGACAAAAGTTTTGAAATAATTCAT